GGGGAAGGTTGACAAAAAATCTGTAACCAATTGTTCCAGGACTCTCCTGGTACTCGAATTCTGGGACACGTCCCGGACCTTTTGTTTTCATGTCGCTGAGGTCCTCAAGAACTTCTCAGGGATATGGGTAAGGTGAACAGTGAGGTCCTCCTCTTACACCGGGTCTTAGAGACTCTGCACTATTGGACCAGCCTCATTCCCCAGGGTCTGCCGTGGATAAATAGGGAGTTGCTGTGAATTCGTTCTAGAATGTTTTTTTTTTCTGTTTTTTTTTTGTTTTCTAAATCTACTCCACCTGACAGCCACGAGACTCGAGGTAAAGAAGACCCAAGCTCTGAAGGTCCCATAATTCAGTGGAAACGAGCCGCGAAAAGAAACGCGCTGGGAAATGAAAAGAAATGGCGACGGGGATATCCCGGATCTGGAATATATCCTGGCATCAGCCCGCGTCACGCCTCGCGCTATTAAATCCCAAGGAGTTTAGTCCTGCGAGAATCCTCGAACGAACGACTTATGGATTACGGGTAATACTGCCGTAGCGAGCAAATATCCTGGACCTGAGTTTAATTTACGAGTCCAGTATACATATATATATATATCCAGATATAGGCACGACGCGTAACGTCGCTGTAGCCTCGCGAGGTTCGGAACAGTTACCACCCCTAGAAAATTGTATACATATTGCGCGTGTACGTGTTCGGTAGCAGTTTGTACGGTTGATCCAAAGTAAAAAAAAAAAAGCAGTAAAAAAAAGCCTCTAGAGAGCACCTCAATAATGACGCAACCCTCTGAATTCGTCTCTTGAAATTCCTGCAGCTTCCTTCAGGACCGTCGCCACACTCTGGTACGTGATGACGTTATAGGCACGTACCTAATCCCAAGAAGAACCTACAATTTCCAAGTATTCCCTACGTGTTCCCATGACGTTCTTCACCTCCCTCTAGGTACCGGTGCTAGTACGGTCGGACGTACGAAGCACATAAAAATAAGTTAAATTCTCTACCTTTCTCAAGAGCTAGTACCGATGGTAAAAAATGATGACGAATGATGACGTCAGCTGTCCGATAGAAGATTGCACGATGTAAGGTCCTGCGAAAATTTCGAGGTCAGAGGTCAAGGGGCTCACGAGGCTCACAGGTCAGGTACGGACAACGGCGCCTAATGACAAGGTAATCGAATTGGCAGGAGTCTATGGTACACGTGCGAGGTATTCGACGAGAGACTTTTCCTTCCGCCAATCAGCGCTAACCAGCCTGGACCCGGTGCGAAGAACCGCGTAGTTCCACGAACGTTCGCCAGGAGCGGTAAACCCGCAGAAGCGGAATCGCTCGCGGAAAAGCTTACAACTGGCTCTAACAAGGGACTCGATTGAATCTAGGTGCCTTCGTCGGAGACTGTGCGAAAGTGGAGGCTCTCGTACTGATTGGGGCCAGGTTAGGTTAGGTCGTTCCTACCCAGTCTGACCAGCCAGACGGTTAATTACCTATCCGAATCACTACGTGACTCAACGTATCTCGCGTGATTACTGATTATCCCCTTGCGGTCTCTCTCGTCGACTCTCCGAACTTCCGGTTCCCGTTGACACTCCCGTTCCATCCGGTATACCGGAAGCACCGATGCCATCGCCACGTGACTCATCTCAAGAACCGCAAACCTGCATAGTCGCTGCTGGACGTTCTAGAAGATCGGCTACGTCATCGTACCGATTTTCGGAAATCGTTGGACAAAATGGCTGTCATCTGTTACACACGGTAGTAAGTCAATAACGAATAAATTTTACGATGGCTAGTTGGGATAATAATATTGTTTTTTCAAAATTTCAATTAATACTTACAAGAGTACCGAAGTTGTCCTGCAGCTGGGCTAGCTTAGTTTTTAATTATACACATTTAATTTCCTTTGGCCAGTCCCTCGCATATACGCATAGCGTACAGACTGCGGAATCTCATTCGGCCCTCTGCAAACGGCAAATAATATTTATTCATCCCACACGGCTCATCGAGCGGTACCGTAATTATGCGAACGAATTCGGATATTTGGTTCGACGCAGTCGACTCGTTAAATCCAATTCATCCAGTGAAATAACACCCTCAATTATTGCCGCGTGTCTACAGTCACCGTGAACAACCTCTTTCTACCCGGCGTCAACCCCACGTGACTACTGACCGTTGACAATGGTTCTTATCGAAATAGCGAATTACTGTGTAATTACCTCGTCCCTTTAGAATTCAAGGGGAGGCACTCTTAAGATATTACTAAAATAATGTGTCACCCCGTAGAGACAATCAATAATCTACTTATATTTTATCCCTTGGAAGTGGCCGTGACTGATAGAGACAAATAGGTTATTTGACTTGGTATTAAGATCCATGCTAGAATTAATTTGTCGTATGTCGCAAATATTTTAACAAATATTGTAGCTATTCGAGGATGCCGATTGGCCACTTATGACAGATTGTAGCTGCTTTGTGAGCCGATTTTAAATAAAGTAGTTGATTTTGAAAAATGCTTTGAAGAGAGACAGACTGATTTACAAAAGTGACTATCTTATACCTGAAAACCGTAATTGGTTCACGAATGCTGTATTGTAATTATAGAAAATTCGTAACACGTAGAAATTAACAGTAACAAATAAACAAATCTTAACTGATATTACATTTTGTCATTACAATATTAATTAATTATTTCAGTAACCTAACTATTTAAATATTTCAATAACCTTATTGCTATGCGAACTGTCAGTTTACGTTTATGGGAATCGGTCGCAGTCACGTATCATTTTTTGAAGAGGCCACACTGCCGCGTCGGCCACTTGCAGCCAACTTCTGCTGGTGCGTTTCTACTGACTAACCCTGTATAAAAAGCGCCGTGTAAATCAGACAGAATGAAAATAGCGAGTCGACGCGAACATTAGTACAGTACGTCGGACACGATACGCAATACGTGCTCGTAAAGCAGGCTGAAATACAAGGGGATGAATAGTGGGGTGGCAGAAGTAGCGGGTTAGGTGGTAGTAATAAAATTCATCATTCGAATAACAGCGATGGCTTTCCGTTCGGTTGAAATCGCCAATTTGCATAGCAACGGATCGTTAGAGGCCGCTCGTAGGCTGGTATGCGTAAAAAATATGTGAAGCGAATGAAATGGAGGTTTAAAAGTGTTAAGAAAGATAAATCGATCAAGAAAAGCAGCAAATAGAACAAAGCCAAGACTGGAGGAATAACAGAATTCGGACCGCGCATGCGCAGTAGAGCGTCTCGCACCGTTCGCAGCAGACTGCACTCGTCGACGTTGCAAATGTCCTGCGGGTATGGCAGTAGTTAAATTTCGAAAATTGATGAACCGCGTCCAGATCGTCAATGAGGGTACGTTAAATCCTCTCCCATCACACCAGCATTCCTCGTCCTCGGATTTCGGTCAACTGCGATCGATAAATAAGTGAGTACAGTCAACCGTATATCCCCACGCCTAATAAACTTTCGGTGCGTATATGTCGCAGGCTCTCTGCTTTCCCAGGTAGAAATAGCAGCAACAGCAGCATTGGTCGCTTAGCTACCCTATAGTTACGTAGAGTCGCGATGCGACCATCCAGTCAGGTAGATAAATAAACAAACAAGGGAGGGAGTCCAGGGACAGAAGGCCAAACGGACAGGCATCCTAACTCCGAACGACATCAATTATGGACATCCAATTTAGTTCGGCCGATATAATTTCCGGCTAATGAGAACGCTACGTCATGGCTTTTCGGACTCATCCACTCGGCAACTCGGGAATCGCCCTTGTCCTTTATAGGGTCTGTATCTGATTGTTATACAGAGAGAAAGGACGTCTGTGTATATTCGTGGTGTAGACGGTGCAACTGTAATCTCAAGACTCGACGAAAACTCACGGAAGATAATGGCTGGTGTATCCTTGTTGTCGTTATCGAATTAGCTGGGAAGTATAGGGAGTGACTCATGGAGAGAAAGTCAGTAGGGTTGAGTAAGGCGCAGGGTGATGATAGGGAAGCCACGAGACAGAGGCAGAGAGAGACAGGCAGAGTTATTTTCTTGACGATTCTCGCAACCTTCAAGTCGTGCTAGTAGACTGTTGTATACTCTAGTGGAAAATGTTCATCCGCTTGTAAAAAGATGGTGGCGAAGTGTAAGACTGAGTTGAGTGACGTAACGGGTATACAGGGGTAGCCAAGGCCCCATGGGTACACCCGGTAAGAAAGGGCTAGGTGTGCAGTCTAGAGTCCCAAACGTACATGAAGGGGATGACTTTGTTATCTTCTTTTCTCTTTGTCTTATCCTTCTTGACGTTTCCTTTATTCTTTTCTTTTGTCTTTTTCTCTTACCCATTTTACAGGGAAACTCCTCGCAGTCCCTCCTCTATGGTTTTAGAGTCTCTGCGGGCCATTGCTATAACTATAGACGGACGAACAAAGCTCGTAATAAAACTCTTTATGCAGACAGAGCATGTTTTATGAAAGGGGAGTTAGCATATGTGCATTAGTGCATAAGAGTGAGAGAGAGAGAGAGAGAGAGAGAGATTCTCTCTTACTCAAACAGAACAATATATCTATGATGCCATAAGGAATCCTATTAGAAATGCCAGCTAGCTTAATATTGATTCTGCATCAATTTGCATTGTTCCTAGCAATTCGATCGGAACTATTCGTGGTTCCTCGATTCAACTCGCAGTCGCAACTGTGCGAACGCAGCCTGAGGGTTTCACACGGGAAACTATTCCGCTTAGTATAACTAGCGTGCCTATCCAGTAACGGATCTTGCGATATCTCACGATTTCGTATTCGAGATGGCAGGCCTAGTTAACTTGAGTACATATATATATATTTGTGAATCTGCAGGTTGGTACTATTACCAAGCGAATGTAACTGTAATGATCCAAGTACAAACCCCCTGGCAAACTAACCTATAAAATAGAAATGACCGCTGGCTTCGTGACAGAGACAGTCGCATGGAAATCATCATTTTGTTAGTCTGTTTGACGTAACAGCTGCCGTCTGGCGGTTGGCCGCTAAACGCTAATTGGACGATACCGTTAATTATTCATAAATAAACTGACGCATCGCGTTCATGGAAACTTTGATGCGTTATTACTGGATTTAAATCTTTCCGTCTTCCTCATTGATTTTCATTCATTGCACTGTCATTGCCGCTGCATTATTTTTTAATTTATTTCAAACATGGACTATGGAAAAGGTAATTTCGTCTTTGTAATATTTTTGCTTGCTTAAATATCATATTCATATTATTAGATCCATGCTTCTGTTGATTTCAACCGGAGCGAGTGTATTCGGCTTTATTAAGAACAACGGTTGGTTAGGTCGAGATTAAATACCTCTGGCATTCCAGTGCACGAGGTAGTAAACAGAATTTTTCCTACCTTTGTTCTCCGGCAATGCTTCGTCAGGCTGATAGAAAATCACACACTCACTACGGGCGTTGATTAACAATAAATATTCTCGCAATTCCGAATCGCTGCATTCTTTTGTATTATCGAAACTCACTTCTTATAATTGACTTTGCTTGCAAACATGATTTTTCAGGACGGTTTTGCCTTTACTGTATTCCCTTGGCGTCCCTAATACGGTGGCACCACCTAGCGGACATATTTAGTACCACATATAATCGTACACAGAACGTACACGCTCTGACAAACTGTAGAACGATTAAATGAATTTCACTATATCTTTAGTCATTTGAAACGCCTGGAAATGGCTTTCTCACTTGACGTTTCAAGATGAATTTTGAAAACGAGCGTATTGTGATATTTGATGGATGTCAGCACTTCTACTCCTAACCCCCCTCCACTCTTTCACCAGGTTCATATTTTTTTTTTAACTCTCTCGGGTCACCCTATAGCTATATCGACTAAACCCTACCAGCCCCTCTGTTATACTTTTCATGGTAAAGGGGATAAAGTGAAAAGACGCGAAAATAGGGACTCGCGAGACGCAAGGGCCTTTCCTTTTTATATATATTTCTTAACCAGCGAAGATTGAAATATTGAAATATAGTCCCTTAGAAAAATTGTCCTTTCCATTTCTGTCACGTTCTCGCGCTTCTGCCTTTTTCCTCAGGGCTCGTTCCATAGCTGTCACCCGTACTGTTTTCCTTTTGAGAAGCAGCTCCGTCTCAACGCCTCTTGGAGATTTTAAATAAAAAATGAATCAATAGTATACGTCAATATGGCCAGTACAACTTCAAACTGAAAATCCTATTTGAGCAGAGGCAAGATAATAGAAATGCGCATATTCATAATTGGCCTTAACGCAACTTAACTCGAGTGTAACTCGTTAAATCTCCTAGATTAGAACGCGCGCCGATGCTTTCGCGCAAGGCTTTGCCAACGTTTGCGACTTAAGTAGCAATATTTCGCCGTATAATTTTCCGCGTAAACACGAATTTAATCAAGAGCCGGATTAGAGGATCCACAGCTGCAACTGCCGACACGCACAGCCATAACCTCCTAACGGATTTCTTCCTTTTAACGTTAGCCTCTTCTTCCTCGTTTCTTTTATCGCCAATCGCCTTACTCTTCGTTCTATTTCTCTCATATATCCCCTCGTTCACCTTTGTTGTCTTTAAACAGCACGAGAGGCACCTGCGCAGATTTAAATTCGCACACCTCCCGATATCAAGAGAGGCCACGTTTGCGATTTCGAGCTGATCCTAGTAAACTCGTGGCTGGAATAACATTCGAGCCAGGAACCTCCGGAAATGACCTAGTATCAACTCACAATTCGATAGCAACATCGTCTCCGTGGATTTGCCGTAATATAGAGGTATACCGTGATACAACCATGGTGAATGTACAGTAACGTAACCTAAAACCATACATGATAGATGCGTACGGACTCAACCATGAAAGCAAACACTCTGTACTCCGTCGATAAAACAGAGATTATACAAACTACTCAGGGTATTTGGATACTCG